AACTTAATTGTTCCTTGACTAGATCGGTGAAACACCTACATTCATTCATATAGTCATATACTTCAACCGTAATCAAATAGTGGAACAAAAGTGAAGCTGTATAGTAGTGCAAACGCCAAAGGTTCGCTGTCTGGAAGCTCATTTCCTTGGGCGTGAGAGCCTCATTAAACGGTGGCTGCTAACTTACTTGACCAAATGAATTCCCGTATTACCATGGGCCTTTTAAGTAGGCGCCATAACGTTCCACCATCATCACCATCAGGTGCAGTTGATTGCCATCAGTACGGATACGCAAGCACAACCAACAGTAAACTATTGTGGTCAAGTGGTAGACATCAAACGCGTCTTGGAATTCACTAGAAGCTAATTCGGTAGCTATTGGGGTTGAAAGCTGCGTGAAATTCTGCCGGCAGCAACCTGCAAATTAGCCAGACGATGACGAGATGAGGATAAAACTCACTTGCGACTGCCACCAAATAGTTTGCAAATATGACCATATCCTAAAACCAATAAAAAAGCTGTGTGCTTTATTATATTTAAATATTTGTCGTATGTCGGTGCATATGAGCATAATATAAACACGTTATCTGTATTTTCGGAGCCCTATATGTTACCATTCGATGGCAAACGTCAACCGTGTGATAATGATTCGCGGAAAGTTAACTCATATATCTGTGTTCGCCGCTAAACTGTCCCCATCCACAGACTATAATAGAAAATTTTGGGTGGTCATTGAGGAACATTTCAAAATATGGGCTTTAAGTAGGTGCAATTCGGAGTTACTTGAAAAGTTTAAAAACTTGGACAATTAAATTTAAATCATGAAAAATTTTAGAAGTTACTCACCTGTATACCAGCAGCTCGAAGGCTCCGCAAGCAGTGCCTGACTCCTGGTTGCAATTTATCCTCAACAGCAGTGACTCCAATCAGGGTCATGTTGCATTCGATTTTAGAGTAAACTTTCGTTAAATCCAGAAGACGTTTATCGCCCACCACACCCTGAGCGCGATTAAGTTCAGCGAGAAGGTTGAGATATTCCTCTGAGTTGACCTCTCGCATGGCAAAAACAAGAGTTCGGAGACCTGCGGAGGCGAAATCAGTCACTTTTTGCATTGCGTCATCGCGCATTTCGGGTGATGTTTGACTACAGAGCTGAATTTCGAGGAAAATAACTTTTAAGGCTTTGTGGGAATCCGAGTAAGCAAGACATGACCAGTTATTGTTCTAAAAATAGGGCGAGTTGCCACACTTACTTTTGGATTGAGCATAACAATTTCCGCGCCTTTGGTGAAAATGACACATTGGCCATCCTCGTGACGCATGAGAACCGTCATCCGTTTTCGCTCTGAGTCGAAGTCAATAATTGCATCGCGCTTAAACTGCTTCGTAGTCCAACCCACATCGGAAGATTTTGAAGAATCTGGTAAAATATTACAAAATTTTACGACATGAACATTCCTTTCGTCGATGAACTTCGGATGACTGACATCCTTTCCGAGATAGATGACACCGCACTTTGATGACGCTTCCACCAAAGCCTTTTCATCAGGGGAAGCGGCCTAAACATGTGCAATCCGAAATGAAAAATGAAAATTTTCAAAATAAATTCGACTGCAGTACTTTACCGTTTAGTATAACTTCAACCACAACTCACACAATAGTTCGGTGGGTTTTCACCCCAGGCTCCAGAAGTTGAACGTACTTCAACAGTGTGACATAAGGCAGCCGCTGTACAAAACTGTAACGTTTTATCTGACAGAATCTTCATTTTTGATGGCGAGAAACGCTCCAAGTTATCTTGTTCCAAGTTATCAAAGCTGTCATATAAATTTTCCTCTTCAGAGGATGAAGAAAAGTATTCATTCGGTTCTTCTGCAGTGCAAGCGTGCCCGACCGCATGGTCGTTGAATTGATTCCAAAATTCCGTACCCTGTTTCAGAGAATAAAGTCCGTTTTGTCTTAGAATGTAGGTATCTGGGTCACCAGGGAGCGCAAAAGCTCTAAACTGCATTTTGTTCTGAGTAAGGGTTCCCGTTTTGTCGCTAAATAGAAACTCGATCTGTCCCAGCTCATAGGCCAAGCTTGTTGCATTTACTTCACTTTTAATGTTGGTTGACTCGTCATAGAGCTTAATGTCTTTGGATATATACAGGGCAAGAAATATATCCAAGACATCCAGAGTTAACATTATCGAAATAGGGATTAGATAATTTAGCAAAAATGTAAGATTGAAGGCCTCCTGTACAACTTTCCATGCAGTTATCGGAAGATAATTAAGATACCAGCCAGACCCGACAGGTGTTGCTCGCCAAACGAATTGCAATATGGTAAAAACAAGCGTCAGCAAAAATAAAGTTATCATAAAGCCCAACATAATCGCATTAAAACGGCCAGCTGTAGACGATGTTTTTCGTTTCCCAGATTTTGCATTAAGTGACAATTTTGTGTCACGACCTGTATAAACGGCGACTCCTATAATAAACTCGGTTTGGCGTAGAATAGCACCACGCATGGCCAAATTTTCGAGTCCAAGAGCAACAGAAGAACTGCTGCATTCAAAGCGCCCTTCAAAAGCATGCAAATCACAGTTAGGGCTTTGACAAATTATATTAGCAGGTAGAAAATTCATTGTTTCAAAAGAGTCTGATTTGGTATACATCAAGGATCCAAATGGAGAATGTGTTGCCGGAAGTGAGTGCATGGTCTTCACAGAGGTCTCTCCATCTAGATTCCCCGTGGTAATATAAGCTGCGCCACTAGCATCGCTAGAGGAAAGGATAATCAAATCACAGGGAAAGGCATCATCTTCGCGACAGATAACGATATCCCCAGTATGAATAGCTTTGGATTTAACCTGTTTCCATTGAGGGAATTCTTCACCCCATGAGTGTGTCCAAACATCGAAAGTTACATTGTTTACTCTGTGGTCATTTTTATGCCTTTTTATGTCGTCAATCCCGTCCTTCAGCATGGAAATAGCCATGACGAAAATTAACGGTCCAATCGTCACAAGAGGCGATAAAGGTGTTTCACCATAAAAGTACAGCACGGAGATTCCAATGAAAAAGAAAGTTGCTGTATTATGCACTTGTTCAAATAAGTTCAAAAATAAAAAATTCCACCAAGTATAATGTGATGAAATGATTTCGTTTCCAGAGTGACGATTGCGAATTGTAACCGTGGGATTTACTGGATTATTCAAAATAATTATCCTTTCGTCTGTTGCTCCACTACTCTTCATTTTTATTATGAAAAACGTATGCTTTGGAAATGTTACGATTACAAATTTAGAGTATACTACTGCATTTAAACAAAGAAACCAAAGGTTAGTCAACGGCTGCTTACATTGAAGATAGTTTTCAGATCACAGGTAGAAACTCATAACGATGTATCCTAATTTCGTTCTTTTCGATTCCAAATTATAGCAACATTCTGTCCAAGTGTGTAAACTTTATGTCGAGGAGATGCCAACGTGGGATGTGTGGGCTCTTAGCTCAACTTATGCGTTGTTTAAATTTATCAATAACCAATT